TACGTAACGATAATTGTTGCTATAATCGTTGTAACACCGGGGAAATTCTTAAAATGGGAAAAAGAAAATGAAAAAAAAATTCTCACAAACGCGGAATGGGAATCGTAAGTTAATGTTTTAGTCCGAGAGGAAAACAAAGATTTTCTAAGTCATTGAGATTGTTTAACCGATAATTCGTGATATGTGCGATTTTTATATTACAGTAAATTTTCGTTGCTTTTTTCATGCAGCGGATAAAATATGTCCTGAGGGAATTAAGAACGCAATATAAACATCAATCCTGACACTTTCCGCAAATCATTAAATATTTAATCGACAGTCTGAGCCCATCGAATCGATTCATTGAAATCAATATTCCAAAGGGGAGGTAATGTTTGCACATGTCTGACATGCGTGCAACTCATAACAATAAAAAATAACAATTTCTTACTTCAGTCTTCAAAGGGAAAGAAAAACTAAACCCAATGATTCTGTTGAAACAATAATTGATTTGTCTCTAGGTTAATGCAATCTCACCCTGAGGTTTAAATAATTTAACAAGTTTTCGGATATTTTGTTACTCTCCTTCTTCGATTCTCTCTTTTCTCTCTCATGTTATTTCATTTTTCTCGGAATACATGTCACGGACAGAACTTTTCTGGACTTTTCTTCAGCCTTATAGAAATCGAGGGGCTATTGTTGGCTCATCTCGTCATGCCTCGCTTCATCACAGAAACTGTTTTCATCCTTCTCGAATCTTGGAAACTGTTTTTCCCCTGTACTCATTCGTTTCAGTTTTGTAATGCTCACCGAGTGCGAGGTAACTCATCTATTTTCTCCTCAAACAAAACTTTTATACTCATTCCACTCTCTCTTTTCTTTTCTCGATTCGAATTGATAAAGAAAGAACTTAATTCTGTCGTAAGAAACGCATTATCTCGGAATTAAATATCAGGAGTTAGTGGATAAAGTTGGCATCGGTTGGATATCGCTGATTTACTTATTTCCATTAACCCAAAATCTACGGGAAAAAGTATTTTCCTCTGCTTCGGAAAAACTTGTAAACTCAATTTTACAAAATTATATCTTATTCCTTCTGCCATTACCTCAAAGAAACAACTCCTTTTTCACTTTAATAATTTCATTGTTAAATAATTATTGTTACTTTCACCCGGAAAATAAAGATTATTGATTAATCAACATTTTTTAAACAATTAATTAATGATTTAAACAGATTTAACGCGTTCTCCCGAATTTTTTTATCAAAAAAATAATTTTTATTGAGAAATATTGAAATTATTTAATTGGTGACAAGTTTAATTTTTTTTTAATACTTTGATTTAAAATAGAATATTATTGCGGGATGGGAATGAGAATAGCGTAACTCCCAGTTGTCTCAATTTTTCATATCTCATGAGAATAGAATGGCCAAGTACCACTGGATAACTCAAATAAGACATTAAATAATGAGCAGGCAAAGAGAAAAGAGAAGAGGTTGCGGGGGCTATTATTACTTTGCCGGCCAGAACTTGAGTTTGCCCTGTACTCATTTTCAGTGTCCGACAAAACGCCCCCCAATTCCCCTCAAATCCCCTCAATTCCCTTCAATCCCCCTCCCCTCTTCAACTGCTGTAATTATAGTCGTTGCATTTGGAGCGTGTGCCCGTTTGCTGATATCTCAACTGCTTTTTCTCAACGAGCATTGAGGAGAAAAAAAAATTATGAACTTTTGCTTTTAAGTCAACACGCTACAACGTACACGTGGTGCATTCATAAACAGTAAAAAAATACTTGTTCGTAAAGTATGTTAACGCGGGATGAAAATTATTTGGAAATCATTTTGGAAAATGAAAGAAGTTGGGTGTCTCCCTTTTTCCCCCTTTCCCATTTTTTCTTATTTTACGATAAAAGTTTTTCGATTTTTGAAATATCAGAAGATCGTAGATTCTTTTAGTGAAATTATTATTAATTAACATCAGCAATAAAATAAAGCATTTAAGTCCGGGGGCTACCCACTCTTGAATGGTCATGGTGTTACTCAGATAATTTCATTATCTTTTTTTATTATCATTACGGGTGAAAAAAAATTCTAATCGGAATATTTTTTTCAAAATTTTCATAAAATTTCGGGAAAACTTTTCAGAATTTTTTTTTTTATGAAACAAGAAAAAATCGGAAAACAAAATAATTTCATTTTTGGGAAAGGTTTTGAAAAATTTTTCAAACCGTTTCCCAAAAATACAAATGTTTTGATCCCGATTTTTTTTTGTTTAAAAAAAAAAATTTCGGAAAAGTTTTAAGAAATTTTTTGAAAATTTAAAAATTTTAAAAATATTCCGATCAGAATTTTATTTTCCCGGGTATCTCCATGAACTGTGGAAATTTGGAAATCTTCACTTCCGCTAATCACAAAAATAATGAAAAATTCTTATTATTCATGACAATTTATTCCTCTCATTTTTCCCACGACTCTTCAATTTTTCTTTCACGATACAAGTTTATTTCTGCCTTGAGGACGTGAATAAGTAATGAGGAAGGGTTCATATGAGCGTAATAGTAGGAATTCAGAGTCTATGGGAAAGGGGAAATAGGGAAGACGATAGTTTAACGAAAAGACATGGCACGATTATACATTGAACGTACTAAGAAGGTACAAACTAAGGTTGTAGTTATGCACAAGTCCAGGGTATGGTGAAGGGTGAAAACCCTCTATTACAGGAACAGGGGGTGTAACAGTCGATAATTCGCAGCACGGGGTGATATTCAATATTCACGTACTCATGGGTTCCACCACTGTCTGTGCATATCCTAAACAATGAGCAATTCACCAACTTTCCCGACTGCATATTAGTTTATATTTCGAGTTCGCTCTAACAAAAATCCAATGCATACATCTCCAGGGAGAGAAACGTCGAAACTAAATGGCGCAATTTTATAGTTTAGTTTTCATTAAAATAATTGAATTCCCATGATTTTTTTGGGTTTATCTTGAGGTGTTATCAGCGGTAATCGTAATTTAGAATGATAAAAAAAAATTTCCTATTCAAATTTTTGAAAAATTTTTCAAAAACTTTCCCAAAAATAAAATTGTTTTGTTTTCCGATTTTTTTGTGTTTCGTAAAAAAAAAATTCTGAAGAGTTTTCCCGAAATTTTTTGAAAATTTGCAAAAAGTATTCTGATTACATTTTTTTTTTACCCGGGCTGCCACTGAAATATTTAATATCGTTTGTACCTATCTCAAAGAAAAATCATCAAACTGATTGCTCATAATATTTCGAATGCCTCGAGCACCTGAAAATAACAGTCTACTGACGGAATTTCAATGGAAAATTGTCAATTTCAAATTCCCTCCACTATCACTATCAAAACCTTATTCCCGACATTATGATAAATGAGAAATAGCTAAAGTGGAAATTGAAACGTCGAGTTACGTTAGGGTCCACGTAAAATTACTGTCACCACTGCAATTCCTGCAATTTCTGCAATCACGTAACAATGGAATTTATCGAGCAACGATTATTAACGAAATTCTCTGGTGGTTATAGGCGTTGGCACAAACACGCACAACCCTTTATGGTCTGAATCATAAAATCCTCGTGTCATTGTTAAAGCCAGAGGCAGAGAGTTTGACGCTGTCATAACTGAGCTTGATGACGCAGACCTAAAATCTCTCCTCTCGTCAGCAAACTCTCCCTTGATCCTCATCTCCGCCATTATGTCGTAAATCACACCCTATCGGTTTCACATTTTCATTACCATTTGAAAGCCCACGGAGTTGATGTCAGTCGCGAACAATGCGAATGTAATTAAAAATTTCATCAGCGAATACTGATGATTCGCTAAAAATACGACTGGCAATATATGCCGTCATTTTAGCAACATTTCTTCATGTATTAGTTGTCATAATAATATATTGGTTCTTCATATATTTGGAAATATGTGTATATCAATTATTCAATCATTTTAATTCAATTATTCAACTGTAATTTTTCTAAATAATATTTAGAAATAATATGTTTGTATTTTAATTGATATTCCAGATTATATGAGCGACAATATATAAGAAAATATAATGGAGATATTTTTTCTTTTAATTATAAAAAATTACCTGGGTAAAAAAAATTATAATCGGATTATTTTTTCCAAATTTTCAAAAAATTTTTGGAAAACTTTCAGAAAATTTATCTTTTGAAACAAAAAAAATCGGGAAACAAAACAATTGTATTTTTGGAAAATGTTTTAAAAAAATTTGGAAAAAATAATCCGATTACAATTTTTTTCACCCGTGATATATCCAAAATATATCTGAATATAATTGATGTATATTTCCAAAAATGAATTTTTCCCGGGTGGATATCGACGACTATTCGATAATTTTGGGGCACAAGTGGTATAAGTACTGAATAATTTTTGATATTCGATATACATTAACACGCCCATGTAACTTCCATTTGGCTCAGGGCAAAAAGTTGGCCGTTGACATCCCGAGGTATAACGATAGGTAAAAAGTTGCTCCGCTCAGTTATTGCGTTACAAAACATTGTTACCCGGTGGTACAGAGAGCCAGAAACGCTTATTACCATTTCTAATGCGACTACAAATGATAAATCACACTGTAATAATTTTCTCGTTCGCATCTCGACGCCCCCATACCTTCCCAAAAATATATATGCATAACATGAAGCTCGTGATAAATTTCCGACGGTGCAAACACACCCCGTGCACCATTTTTCAATTATTTCCGACGAATTCTTTCTCACTATTGATTCGATTTTTATTTTATTTTTGCCCTTTGGTTATTTCAAATTTGATTTTACAATTTTTTACTTCCGGGTATTTTTTACTAACTCCAGAGTGAATCTCGGTAGATCTAATTTAATTATCATTACGGTGGATTTAATGATGAGGATTATTGAAAATTATTTGGTGCGGTGGGAATTTTTAATTTAGGGGGTCGAATAACTATTTCAACTGAGACTTGGTAACATTTATGATTTTCCTGTTCCTTTGTGTGTTTTAGTGATTTGAGACCGGCAAGTTTGGAAAAGGGCCAGGAGACATTACGTCTCAGAGTATATGCGTGTTATGCTTGGGGTGGTCCACTATTGGTAGCTGGAATCGCTGCTCTACTAGATCATCTACCAGCTCAGGACAACTACACATTTTTACGTCCGAGATTTGGCGAGAAGCAGTGCTGGTTTTATGGTGAGAATCGTTCGAATTTATCAACCTATTTCTCACGGCGCACCAAAAGAGAATTACGCAGAGAAAAAAATACACTAATATAAAAAGGAGAAAGGAAATTGATCTCGAGGTATCTTGAATAATCGACTCGTCGTCTCGACGCCATAGGAAAATCGTGACAGTTCAAAAATGTCAGAAATTCAAATAATTGCGAAAATTTTGAAAATTGAATTAAAATTTTGAAAAAATTAAAAATTTTGGAATGCAAATTATTAGACAAATGTTATCTAGGGTCAGAACGAGCGGAAGAATTGAAAACTCCGGGAATTGAATTTTCAATTTAAACCTTCAAAAAAAGTCAGAAATTCAAAAAATTTCAAAAATTTTGAAAATTCAAAAAATATAAAAAATTCCAGAAATGGTGAAAATTTCGGAATGCAAATTATTGGACAAATGTTACCTAGGGTCAGAACGAGCAGAAGAATTGAAAACTCCGGGAATTAAATTGAAAACAAAAAATTCTTTTGAAACTACCAAACGAAATAAAAAATTATCATCACTCAATTTAAAAAAATATTAAAAAATAGCCGGTGTATTTCGAAATTGGTTGGGAGTATATATCGATATATTGAGAAATATCGGAGTAGCTATTTCGATTATTACGATTTACCGAGCGATAAACCACGAGCCCCATGTACTAAATGCAAAACCCCCTTGAATTTCAATTACGATTTCGCAATGTATCGCATGCGAGCTGATAAATAATCCTTCACGCATGAATTTCCATACATGCAAAATAATTAGTAAAATAATTTTAACGTTTGGACCATTAAGAGGATAATCCCGGGGATTCCCAGTGTGTTATATGTTCACTGGTATAGGGATTACCCCTAGTCGAGAGCCTATAGCTTTCCTTTATCCCACTTGGGCCAATAAGAATGTAACCGTATGCACATGGGGGGTTATGTATTCGGTGGAAACCAAGCGTTTAACCAGAAACACATAATCCACCATTCTGCTTTGTTAATCCCGAAAACACCAGTGTACCTTTCCCTAATAACTCCCTCATAGCTTTCCCCATTTTTTATATCCCATCCCTCCACCTCTTCATCCCCTCCATCCCCTCCATCCTCTCCACCCTACCGCCCCTTTCTCATTCACTCTCTCTTCAACCTATTGTCACAATTCTTCAACCTAGACATTATTAAACTCTCTCCCATCAGGGGATGAAAAAAAAACCGATAAATTTACAAACAATGGAAATACAGAGGGCAGTACTCGTGGAAATATCCACTGACTCCCGGGGCTTATCGACTGTAAAAAAATAGCCGTCGGGATTAGTCGGAATTTGTGAAAAAAAAAGGCAAATAACGGATTTCGCTGATAATTTCAACTGGATGGTAGACAAGTAGTTGACCCTATTCTATTTCCAGGAAAATTTACTCTATTCTTGAAAGATACTTGAAAGCTCATTTTGATCGAAGGGCCCTTGGAGTATCGGAGCTTTATCTCCCTATTTTTCTCGGTCGATACTATTTTCATTGTCTGCGGAGGGCTGCACTGGAAAAAGTACTTGTGTTCGCCAGCAAGTACTCAAGTATTAGAGTGGAAAAAAATGGGGCTGTTTGTTTGGTTGTATTTTTTGGACGCAAAGGAGTTGAAGATACTTGGAACAATTATTTTTTGGAGTTTGAACAAGGGAATTTTTTTTAGAAGAATTTTGGTCTGGACTTCCTGGGTAAAATAAATTGTAATCGGAATATTTTTTCCAAATTTTCAAAAAATTTCTAGAAAACTTTTCAGAATATTTTTTTTTGAAACAAAAAAAAATCGGGAAACAAAACAATCGTATTTTTAATATAATATGATATAATATATAATATAATTTTTTCCCTAAAACTGTTGTTTTCTTATTTTTAAAATTTTTCAATATTCTCAAAAAATACGCCATCTAAATTAAAAAAAAAATTCCCTATTTACATTTTTGAAAAATTTTTCAAAACCTTTCCCAAAAGTAAAATTGTTTTGTTTTCCGATTTTTTTTCTGTTTCACAAACAAATTTTCTGAAAACACTTCCAGAAATTTTTCGAAAATTTCGAAAAAGTATTCCGATTAAATTTTTTTTCCTACCCGGGTTTGTAAAAATAATGTTCAATGAAGTTCGACATCAAAGTACTATTGTACAAAGTATTATGTTAGGGGCCCAATGAATGAGTAGAAAGGCACAAGGCGGATTTAGGGAGTGGTGGAATAATCTCCCCTCGATTATTCGATGGCAAAGTCATCATAACCAATTTTCACGTAGTCCCTTTAACCAACCCTCGTCCATGACTCAGATCCATATTTTCAGCATTCAACAATCCAGGAAAATACCGTCATTCTCACTACCGGTAAATCAGGATAATTGTGTCCCAGGGGAGTACTACCGTTCTCGGATGGGACAATACATAGGGGGTGGATTTTACGCCAGTGTTTTGGTGGTGCTTCTTTTTCAAGTACCATGGGAATGTGTGTGCGGTGTATCCACGAAGGAAAACCGAGACGATGGGGTGGTGAGATAAACCTTGGCGCCAGTAAACTCAAGGCTCTAACTAACCCCTTGGGTAACTCACCCCACAATACCCCTCTCCATTTCCCCACCTCTCATTCACCCCTACCCATCGTCATCTCCCTTTTTTTTTCTCACTCCCTCTCCACTCTCACTTTTCCTCCTGTTCGTTGAAAGCAACCGCAGGCTAACCGTATGGGAAAGGGTCTTTACTATTGTATCACTTCTCTTTTTATTTTCCTCACCAGCTGGAAATTCTAAAACCATGCAATTTAGTTCGGATTAGACGATTCTGTTGACTCATTCTAGAGCACTTCAGCTACACGCAATCTGTTAGATTGGGTTTTATACTTGTTTATTTTTTTTTTTCGTGGGTAAATATGATCCCTTTGTCCGGAAATGGAAGGGGAATTCATTGGTTTCTTTTATTGGGGATGATTGGGCGGCAGGCAATCCCACTCTGCATAAAATTGAGAAAAAGTCGGCCGCAGACACAATTTTCCCTCATCACCATCCCCCAAGAAAATTCATTTCCCGTCCCTCCGTTATTTTTTCGCACAAAACAAATCTACCCCCACCGACACTCCTCTTAATTAATCTCGCAATTCAATTACCAATTGCCTGTTAAATCGAGTTAATGAACCGCAGGGGAGAAAAATATATAGAATAAACTTTTAATTTTGACCGCGAGCGTTAGGGGGTGAGAACGCGATGAGAGATGATAAGTACACGTTTTGGAACACGTGCGGGCAATGAATAATGGACAAAACAGTTGGGGGATGGGGGGGTGGAGAGCAATAATATTCTCGGGTTGAATTCAAATCCATTCGGGAGGTTTTGGCATTCGATAATTCAACCGGGCGTTTCATTACGCGTTACGAGTACGCACACTTCACTCACCCTTCGTGATATGAGGCAGGTTTTGGCCCTGGAGGGCTTGTCCTAACACGTTCGAGAGACTACCCGCTTTCGTTCAATCAAAATAATTGCGTTAAACTGTATTTTGAGAGAGGGGCACCCCTAAAGACCAGCAGGTAGTGCCACTTAGACCGTCCGATAATCCGAAATAAATTGCTCGGAAGCATCTCCCCACCCCATCACCACCTAACTACATAACCCCCAGGTACTCCTAGCCTAAGGATAATTTATAATTTCCTTAACAACCAGTCCCACTACTCCTGACTATCTGATTTATTCACTTATTGAAAGAAAGCAATTCGCTGGGTTTTGTCTAGGACCCCGGGTAAAAAAAAATGTAATCGGAATATTTTTTCGAAATTTTCAGAAAATTTCTGGAAAACTTTTCAGAAATGTTTTTTTACGAAACAAAAAAAAATCGGAAAACAAAACAGTTTTATTTTTTGGAAAAATTTTGAAAAATTTTTTTTTAATTTGAATTGAAATTTTTTTTTATCATTTAGATGGGGTTTTTTTGAGAATATTGAAAAATCAAAAAGGTAAGAAAACAACAGTATAATTAAAAAAAAATTATATCCGAAAAAATTTCTAGAAAATTATTAAAAAAATCTCGAGTACATATTTTCCCCAAGTACCACTCATTAATCGCGCCGAGAGATTTCTTCGAAAGCCCGAAAATTTCCTTGAAAACAATGAAGTGTCACCGAGTTCATCCGAACTTATCACAATCAATCATCGCTGCCAGGCCAACCCAGCGATGCAGATCTGTAATTCTCCTCACCTTCCGGTTATCCATGTAATTTCATCAACATCAACAACAATAAATCCCAACATATTAAGCCGGGCAGCGATGATATATCGATCAAGGATGGGTGAAATTCAAGCGATCCATGAATCATGGTAATTAGCTGGAAGTTTGGAATTTTCCTTTGGAAAATGAAAATACATCCATTAGGAAGATTGATTCCGGCGTCTAGACAAGAGTATGGCGAAGTATGGAAATCACTGGTGAAGTGAGGAAAGTGGAAAGAGGGGTTTGTACTGGTAATCGAGTTTGACCGTGAGGACCATAAAGTATCGGGTTGCCCACGGGATATCGGCGACGCGTGGACATAATTCACTTATGTTTGTTATGGGTTGCCATGGGAAGTGAGATATAACCACTGGCCGAAACAGCTATTGTTGGCGTTACGCCAAAAACTAAGCGACTAACCCATCTCCACCTTTTCACCCTGCTACCTCATCGTCGAGGCAAAATTCCGACTGGCCAGGGCAATACAACGTCCAGGGGTGGTGGCATTTTATCCAACTAGCCTGATGGCCCAAACGTGAAACTATCAGCAAAGAGGAAACCAAGAAACATTATAGATCAGAAAGTTTTAGTCCCCTGTGGAAATTCACTCTCTCATCCCTCACCAATTCCAAACTGAGGGACTCCTGGGGATTTCCCTTTTTTTCATCAAACTCTTTTTATTCAACACCTGAAGACTGATTTCAGGGATATCGTGATGAGAATCTTGACCGTTTGGGGAGTACAAGTACTCATGATCATTTTGCACAGAGAGAAAAATAAAAGAGAGATTACTGTACTAGAAAATGGAGCTCAGGGGGGTGAGGTCATGGGGGAGTAATTATCCTCGGGGTTTAACTTTTAAAACATTCTCTCAACGCGTGTTTACTCGCGGACACCTCGAAAATCTCTGACGGTCCATTTCACTTATCTGAAAGTGGAGAGATTTTTTATTCAGTATTTAAGATAATATTTTTCATGAATATGCGATGTTTGACCCTCGGCCATTTTTCTCGGTTGACTGAGGATAGAATGAGGGTGGAAAACGGGGAGAGAGATGATCTAGCAGCAATCTGCCAGGAGGAATGGATGGTGAGGGTTGGAGAGAGAGATTTTCTCCCCTTTTTTTTAACCCTGAATGGGAGGAAAGGAGAAAAAGTGTAGACCACAAACAAACCCATAAATAAACTAACCCCTCTCGTCGCTTAAGCACGGAGTTAACGTGTGGACCAGTCACAAAGTCAAACAAATAAATGAAAATAAAACGTATAAATAATAGAAGCTGTCCAGCTCTGGCACTGAATTTTAATGAACATCTGATAATTCATTCTCGAAGTGCCTGTCTTTTATTAAATGAAATTGCGAGATTGCGCGGAGATTAATTGTCCCGAATACCCGGCATTCACCGACAACAAATTTTCCGACAAAATGCATTAATATAGAATTTTCACTTGAAATTTTCACTCGATTAATCCAGAAAAAATCCAGAACAAGTAAAATCCTGGGAAAATTCACTGAACATTCTCCAATTTGAATTCAAATCGACGCAATATTTGCTATTGTTAAATAATAGGTAATATCCGGCATCGGGGATTGTTTATTGTCCCTAGAATAACTGGTGATAATTTCCGGCTTACGGATTCTCGTGTGAATAGATAAACCGGGGGGAATTCATTCAACTATATTCAAGTGAGAAGTACGAATACGTTTATTATTGAATGCACGGTGAAAAATCCCTGACGTCTCGACGAGGGTTTAATTTTAGATATCGTATCATTCGTCTCGATGATTTCAATCCGCAGAAATTGGTCTACGCCGTATCATTGGGTTCCACATAAATCTTGATTGACGCATATGGAAATAAATCGAATATTTTCATGCGATATATTGTCACTTGGCATCAAATAAGAATATGTAATGATCTCATCTTATGTCACTGATTTTTTATCCCAGACTTTTCATTATTTTTCACAAGTACCATTCAACTACCAATTGTACTACCTGTCTTATCGTTAAAGTACTAATAATGCAACGAGTACAAGTAAAATACTAGAAAGTACTCGTGGTAATTGAAACAAGTACTTTATGTTGAGAAATTAAAATCGTAGAAATTTGTCATTTCGTGCTATATTTTTATAATTAATGAATTTATATCTTTTTGTTTACAGGTGATACTGAGATACTCGCGTACTTTCATGGACCAATCGGCGTCTTACTCGCGATAAATGTCATGTTTTTCATAGCAACGGCTCGTGAATTAACTTGCGGATTGTGGAAAGGGGAATTTGTTAAGAGTACGACTGAAAGGTAAATATCAAATATCACATATTTTTATATTAACAAATGGACAAAGAGAATTCTGGGAGTTAAGAATGTCCAGGGTTCTTCAACTCCAGAGAAAAAGGTCGTCTTGGCAATTTCAGGAGCCACTGAATTAGACCGGTTTTCCTACGCCTCTTTTATTTCCGCCTAAAGAATTTGACTTTGTATTATTTCTTTCACTTTTTACCATTCTCACATTTCTCCCTCTTATTTATTTATCTTCATTCCGTACCAACTGAGTCTTATTTCCTTTGTGAATGGTGGGTTGTGTGGGGGAATTCCAGAGTGAGATGGAGAATTGGAAAATTGATGTTTTTGCGAATGATAATTTTTTTGTCGTTTTGGGATTAATTATGTATTATAATTATAATTATAATCGATATTTCTTCAGTTGATATTTTTAATAGCTTGAAAAAATTGCTGCGGACAATGAGAATTTTTCTTCCGTATTTAAATTTTGTTGGGATTTCAAAATGAATTTTGCGTAATTATCCTCTGATACTGTTAAGGAACGAGTTTCATCATGAGAAACAATGGCGAGAGTTTGATGGTGAGATTTAGAGAGTTGCGAGAACTATCGAAGCGAAATGAGCCATCAAGTGGTGTTTGAAATCGGAAAAGCCCCTGGCTATTGAAGGGGTCATACCCCTCTCTACGTGTACCAAAATGCCTCCTCAAACCTCATAAATTCCCAGAAGAAAATAAACAAAATCAACTTGATTTTTTACGGAATTTAATGATCGAATTTCAGGAACAGAAAGCCATTAAATCTTTTGGTTGATGCGTGTCACTTAGGATTTACTACTTCAAACTGTTGATATTTTTCCAGAACTTTTTAACCGATTCGTTTTCTTTCGCTATTTACTGGAATACTTCAAGGTTTACAACATATTTTGGCATCGACGTCAAACAGTCACTAACGATAAATATGACTTGATGATGAAAATTCAGTGCGTCGAGCTTTTCAGTTTTATGATTGGTGATAAAATGGAACTCTTGAAAGATCTGACAATCGTTAACTGTGTTATAGATGGTTGAGCACAATCTTCAGGAAAAGGGAATCGATTTGAAGTAAAACCCGAAGAAAAATTTATAGTAGAATTACGATTTAAAATTGTATTTTTTCCGTTAAAATCCCACTTATTTCGCGAAACCTATAAAAATTAATTAAACCATTGGCAAATGAGAATTTCAATATTATATTATTTTAAAAAATATTGCAACTGAACGAATTATTATATAAATTGTTTCCTGCGCAGAAATATTATACTGGTGAAATATTGTTTATTTAATTATTGAAGTTTTATGTATTTTGGAGCAATAATTTCTTCAGTTGTAATATTTTGAGTTGTGCTATTTTGATAGGTATATTTCAATTCCAGAATTCGCGAATTTGAGACTCCAATCGAGAATTCTCATATGAATCTTCGCTATTGCTATTTCTTTTGTTGTAAGTAATTCTTTGTTCGATACTTGAAGTGGTCAGCCTTGAGAGGAAACTGAGAATGTCGTCCTTCGACGCATTAATCGTTAGTAAATCAACGGTTTTGCCCTGGGGAAACTTTCACTCTAAGACAATTGCAACGAGCACTAGAACATTGTAAAAAGTAGTAAAGAAGAAAATGTGGATTTAAGATGCGACGGAGGGAAATAATTTGCAACATTGGCGTAATAATTCTCACAATCTCGGCTATTTTTCTCCCAGTGGAGCGAAAATAAAACCTTTTCTTCTTCATTCTGATACTGAGATTGAAGCGTAGAATAAAGCTTTATAGCTTGAATGTAATGGAAAGCCATTCGATCTGATCGTGAACCTAATTCGAACAAGTTGATACTAGCCATTCCATCTCACACATCTTTCCCCTTAAAGTCTCATTTTTTATTTATTTTCTTCGCTCTCTTATCTTGCTTCACGCGTTCCCTTTGATTTTTCTCGTTATACGGCTTTATATCTTCTCAAGTGTCATCAATACCAATTCGAGAACACCAATAAAAGGAGAAAACTATATCCAATTACGATCGAAAAGTCCCTTCATTTTAATTATAATTATAATTAGATCAAATTGCGAAATTCCCATTCATCCGCGAGAATATATTTCTTCCTAGTTTTTCTTCTTCAAATTCTATTAGAAATTAATTGTTCAAAAATTACAAATTGATTGAATTGTTCAATTGTAATTGGAACAAAAAATTAAATGATGTATATAATTTGAATGAAGTGATATAAATCATTTTGTATATCGAATTATAATTTCATTGAAGTCCTTTTTCTTTGTAATTGCGAGAATTTTTTCGACGTAACTCCTTAGCCAAACAGAAGTAGGAAAATAAAATTATAGTATTTTCCTGTATTTTGTACTTGTTTTTATTTCATCTCCAACCCCGGAGGCCTTGCTCCTTCGATTTCGTGCGCTGCCAAGTGGAAATCTGTGTTTCGCCTTTCCGCCCGCGAAGAAGCTTCAGACACACGTACCAACCAGTTTCGCTCCCTTGCACTCTATTCCTATTTCACAGTAGGACGAAGCCCTTTTTTTCATCCATTTCTCTTATTTCCTCCTTTTTTTTACACTCCAGCTTGTCGTCATTTCTACGTACCAACGTCAAACGATAAAAGTATTATTTTTACCCCTCACTTTTCTCCTTTTTCCCTTTTTTACTCAATCTCCTTATTTTAATTCTATTTATAAACTGTCAATGGGGAGAGAATGCCTTTTATCTGTACCAAAAATGTCTCCAATGGAAAGAATTTAAATTTGTCTTAAGTGGTGGGACAATTTTGTCGGAGGAGATACTCTCACTTGCCAAAATTTCTATTTTCGGATAACTCCACTGCACTATGAAGAATCCTGGAAGACACTTTGCTTCAGTCGTTTGTAATAATTAGTGACGGATACCAAAATAGAAATTCTAACTAAGTCATTATAATCTTCAAGATTCATCCAATTTCTGTCCAGAAATTCTTCATTCCTATTCAAATCCACAGTTAATGTTGAATTTTGGGGTTGTCCTCGGCATTTAGGAAATATTTATTTCTTTGTTACTGTGGGCCATTCCTTCATGTTATAAAAAAATCTGGTGACCAGAAAGGGTCAAGGGTAGAAGGAGAAATTATATTGCCCTCTGGAGAGGAGTTATATATAATAATTCTCAGTCTTCAAAATATTCCAAGTGTTTGTCTCCATAATCCAATAGTTAAATTGAATAATTGTATTTTCCAGGGCTGCGTTGGGACGCGTGTGCCTGAAGCTGGTGTTCGTGATGGGTGTGACATGGATAGCTGATGTCATATCATGGGCTGTCGGTGGTCCAGATTACATGTGGTATTTTACCGATCTTATTAACGCACTTCAAGGGCTCTTTATATTTATTGTGGTTGGATGGCAGCCGCAAGTACGTGCCGGCCTTAAAAGGCTATTCAATAGAAATCCACGTACTAATGCCGGAAGACAGGGTAACGGACTCAGTACCACAAGTCACGGAATGCCAAGCATGGGAGACAGCGTGACGCAAAATCCAAGTACCAAGACTGCACCGTTGGAGACCATCTGTTAAGTCCCATCACAAAATAATGTTTTTTTCTTTAAACAAGCGCTTTAAAAAGTTCCTCGATTTCTTATCGAAAATACGCCGAGGACAGTTATCCAAAGAACATCCGTATGACAATAATTTGTTTGACTGACTCAAATCTGAATCAAATTTGAAATAGTTTTTTTTTTCTTTCTGTCCCGTGTGTTCCGTCTATCAAACGTAATCACTCGTGAACCCGAAGATTACGTTAATTCAATATAGATTGCTCAGGCGGGACGCAATGCCTTTTTTTATAATTACGGATACGAATAAAAAGTCGCTGATAACGTATACGATAAAGGGAAAATTGAAGGGAGAAAAATTTTTGATAATTTTTTTATGCTTTTTATATGCGATTTTTTAATGGGGAGATATTGAAATTGAAAATTTGAGTGTCAAAATGAGGGCATGAGGATGATTCGTGACAATACAAGGAGATAAATGAAAGATGTGAAATTGAGGGGAAAAATTAAAAATGCCTTCAGGAAATGCCTTTGCGGTTTCGGGTGTTTTCACCCTCTGGTGAATTTCATTGTGAATTTAAAAAGTCAGAGGAGTTTCACAGCGAGAAGAGAAATAATTGGAAATTTCTTGTAAGACAATATGAATTAATTCTCAATTTTTATACCCGTAGAATTTAACTATTTTGTAATGTAATTCTTGACAAAGTGGAATCAAAGGGAAGACTGAATTTCGCTGAGGAGCAATTGATGCTTCAGTTGATTTAATTATTGCATTCATTAAAATATCGGAAACTAGGATTTTTCGAAGACTCTGACATCTCCAACCGTTCATTAATAAAAAAAAATAATTTCTCAGTGATTCCACTTGATTACTGAATTCAAATTGAGACTGCATTTTTGTCAATTTATCATTACATCGTTTTACAATTGCTGGATATTATCCCCTTCACCAGAACAACGATAATTTTACATTCTAGGATATTATTGAAAACTACTGCATCCTCATTTCCTCCGTTCGAGTCGAATAAATTGTGATAAAATTACTTGAACAACTTGATTGAATCGATAATACTTTCCTTCGACTGAGAAATAATCAATTCTGTACATTATCGAAGCTTATGTTCATCATGTAAATAAACTTCTCATTTTAATTGTTAATTATTCAATAAATTACGGGCTAGTTGCATCAGTCTATCAGCAATTGAAACCCGAGGGTGAAATTGATTTCCGAATAATTGTGGGCTCTCAATTACCAATCTGAAACTGGTGCAGCCCGCATTAATTGAATAATCATCGATAAAACAAGTATTATTAATTAATTATTTAATTTTCAGGATAATATTAAACGTTGTTTTAATAAGTATTTATTCTGATGTAGTCAGTTTCGTTTTTTTTTACGTATTTAATTTAGGTAGCTTGCCAGTACGACCAATAGAATGAACAAATTTGCACTTTCTCATTGCAACGGATTACCAATAAGAGAAAAATGTTTACTAAATTTTTCCGTGAAGGGACGGAGGCAGAAAAGCAAATATTCAGGAGGCTATATATACGTATGAAAGAAAATAGGTACCTATACTCAAAGCAGAGATAAAAATGTAATGAATAGTAAATTTAGAATTTGAAGCTGGGATGCATCAGTCTCTATTAATTATTCCGACTGTGAATTTATTACTGGGAGAATAATATTTGGAATATAATTTTTTAAATTTAATTTCGAAAGGTGCCCTTTCGCTACTTCAGAGTTTCTGCCGATTGGAAGAATCAAAATAAATGGAGAAAATAAATAGAGACTCATGCGATCGGCTTTAAAATTAAAGAGATCGAAATACATAATAAAAATCCATGAGGATAAAGTTGAAACTGTAATGATAGTATTAACACGAGTAGGATCCGGCCAGAATCTTTTACGTTCTATTACTGGAAAGGAGTATGTTAAAAATGTTATATACGCCATTCCTCGATTATGTATTGTAACAGTATTTCTATTGCACTAACGATTTAATAAAGTACTGATTAGTACAAAAATTTAAATATTGAAATTATCTGCAACTATTCATTTCCCAATTCCCCGGACTCCCCGGATTCTACGATCTCTGCTCTCTTCGTACTTCAAAAATAGAATTGAGTGGAAATGATTTTAATTAATTCTAGCTTGATAGCAATTAATAATTATCGAATGATCAATTTCGAGTTGCAGTCGATATTTTACCCACATCTGAATAGTTAGAAACATCGAAACGTGTAATTTGCTCATGAATTTCTGTACTTTCAACAAATTGTTCCCTGATGTAAGCGCTGAAGATACGAAATTAATTATTAACAAAGGAATGAACAAATGATGTACTTTTCCAATGACCTAAAATCAATTCCCCATGAGAGGCGCGATAAATTCTAGAGTCACAATTGCTCGAGCATTTCAGAAGCGACAGCTCATAAAATCATAAGTCAGGTATAAATATTTATCTTGATGGCTAACACATTGAAAGGAAAACCGCAAGGTTACGGTTTTAGAGGAAAAGATAAGATAATGGTGTGCGTTTGTGTTATTTAACAGTTTATCATTCCAGCAATCGCTCACTGAACATTCTTCACACCTATATAAAGTGACAGGGTCTAAACAGCTGTCATAACGTTCCAGAACTCCCAGTGAATTTAGTTAAAGATTTGAATTTACAAGGCAATTGGTTTTTACTGTCTTGCGAAATAATGGCGACTCCCGTGTCTACGATATCTCCAGAGTCTCTGAAAATATCGCAGCGACAACTTTTTGCTCCTTCCCTCCAGGAAATCAAGAATGGTTACGTATTTTTGAGGTTAAAACTGGATTTTCTAACGATTTCAAAAAAAGTTCACGTGTAATTTTTTTTTAATAATTTTTCTAAGCAGTTTTGAGTCCGGCTTTGGCTGAAAATTTTTCCGAGGTCTCAATTGAAGTCGTTGATTGCCCGGATTTGACTCAACAACCGTTTACACTCGCTGCGGCAGGTGAGAATTTCGTAATAAAAAATTGAAAATGAATAAAAAGTGGGAATTCCGGTTTTTCGACTACTGGGCATCCGAATTACAGCGGGATGAGGGGATGGCGCCATTGGTTAATTCAGGAAATGTTTGGATTCAAATGTGACCGATAACCTGTGGCTTCGTTATCACCCGGGGTGGGAAAAAATTAATTTTTAATGTGTCAGTTACAATATTTCATATCTTGGAAATGATAGCGGCTGAGTGATTTATTTATAGCGATTGGTTGGAAATTTCCGTGGAACTCCGATTCAGTTCCGTTTTTTTACACGAAATTTTCTTTCATCGTTACAATTATTTTGCAATTCCAATTGTAATTTAAATAAAATTTTCTATCATGGGAATTTGAACGCAATTTTTTATGACAAAACGTTTTGAATTTCTCACCGAACATTTTGATTGATTTGATAATTATTATTTTAAAGGTCTTGGAGGTAGCAAGACTATTTTGGAAGTGGGTGGACCTTCATTTTTACTCCCCAGTGTCCAGCGAGATAAAGTTTATGAATTGAAATCAATATTAAACCGCATAAATAATGGAAAAATGGAAAAAAAAGGATTTGTTATCGGGGCCGGTGCCGGGCCGTGGCCTAGACTCTCTAGAAATTGTGAAGTAAGTTCTCATAAACAATTATTTCAACAATTCCCACAGCTATGAAAATTATCAACAATTCTGCAAATGAAACTAAAATAATCAGCCCAAAGGAATTAAAATAATTATTGCAATAACCGATGACTAATTGATTTGAAGATAATTTCCCCTTATAATTTTACAAATAAAATTTCCTAGATGATGATGAATGTTATCGTATCTCCAACCGACTTGAAAAATGAGACTCGATTATCCTGGGTCGGACCAAACGAGAAATGCATTCTCGAGGAGTCTCTAGAGAATGATTTAAGATTCGCTTTATTAGCGAATCTCTATCTGAGCGAAGGAAAACCAGGAAAAGTATTGAAGGTTCACGCGAAAAAGAGAACTGGAAATTTGGATTTCATCGCTACTATGCAAAAAGCACTCGAAAGTCATTACAAAGATAAACTTGTTGGTAAGATCTTGCATAAATATTTACTTTGAAAATCTTTTACGCTGATATAAATCCAAAAATCGTGAAAACCGAATGACCCGAAACATTTTTAATTAATTACTATAAATTAATTTGGGGCTTTAAAGGTCTCTGATCGCCAATTCATATTTTAAATTATTGAATTATTTTTTATGCATTTTTAAATTTGATGTACGTCTGCTAGTTTTTTTTTAATAAAAAGTTGCAATTCAAGAGGGAAGTTATTTAAAACAATGTTTTAGGCTTGGGTGGAACGTTTCTTTTGAAGCAAGGAAAAGCCAAGCAACACGTGATGCGAGACTTCTCCAGTGTACCCTTGACAACAGAAAAAGCTCTAAACGACTGGTTGAAATTTTATGACATGTCTGCACCGCTGATAGCAGTGGGCACTTTCGTCTCAGCTGAAACTGATCTCGATCTTCGCGTTCAGCACTTCCACAGCTTCAGTCATCATGGAGAAGGTGGTCATTACCACATCGACACAACACCTGAAACTGTGGAGTACCTCGGATACTTCAGCGTTGCTGAATTATTGTATAGGATTGATCAACCGGCAGTTGGTGTCACTTTTGGGAAAGATTGATTCGAATAATACCTCGGAAAAGAAAATTCTCAAATCATCTCTCTTCTAGTGTTTATACTCTAAATTAAGATTTGATCGAATACTTGACAGCAATCAGCGATAATGGTTTTTGAAATTACATTAGGATATTGTTCTCTCAATTTATGGAATGAATCTGGGAATAATGAGACTAATTACAGCAGGATTTTTTCATTTCGAGGAGTTTATGTGAATTTTTTATGTGATGAAATATAATAAAAAAGTTTAATTTTTGATTTTTGAATTTAATTTTTCGTAATAGGTCATGAATTCGAATTCCAATCTTCGCGTTTCGTCTTAAAATTGATTATCTTTAGATGGTAAGATATATTGATATTGATCCTATGAACCCTAGGGGCTTGTTTGGACGCGTCTGCAGATGTCTCTGCGTTTTAATTTCCGAATCGTGCGCCGTTGTCGGCTTTCCGTCTACAAATTTTTACCGTTCATGACCACCGTCGCCATATTTCTTTCCTTTCAACGTCTTTCCCGAGAACAGCACAATGGCTGAGGTATGAATTCCTACAATTATTCCATCGAAATCCGAATTTTTCAATGCAATCCCTCAACTAAAAATTATTTTAAAACTCTCATCTCTGCGATCGAATTTTTTGATTCAAATTGATTGGGTATTTTTACTCCTGCGGATGATTTTAAAACGGATTTATGGGATTTTTAGTTGGCGCAATTCTTTAGAGCTAGTCTCGCTTTTATCATTAATATTTTTTTAAGAGATTTCGTTTTTTTTTAGGTTGACGAAACTCTGAAGAAGAAGAGGACCTTCAGGAAGTTCACCTTCCGTGGAGTTGATCTCGATCAACTCCTGGATATGCCAAAGTGAGTGTTCAGTCGTTGGGGAAAATTTTCTCGAGAAAACATAACCTGTGAAGTGTAAACTCGTGGTAAAAAGTGTTTACGCGCGGTTTTAAAGAACTCCAAGTTGTTTTCTGAAGAAAATCTCGTACCCAATTAAAAATTTTTCCCAATTAGTAATACTGATAATTTATTTGCAGTGAGCAACTCATGGAGTTGATGCACGCCCGTGCCCGCAGGCGTTTTTCTCATGGTTTAAAGAGAAAACCAATGGCTCTGGTGAAAAAACTTCGCAAAGCGAAAAAAGAGGCACCACCAAATGAGAAACCAGAAATAGTAAAGACTCACCTCCGGAACATGATCATCGTCCCCGAAATGGTTGGCTCAATCGTCGGTGTTTACAACGGCAAAACCTTCAATCAGGTCGAAATCAAACCTGAAATGATCGGTCACTATCTCGGTGAATTTTCAGTCACTTATAAACCTGTCAAACACGGTAGACCAGGTATTGGTGCCACTCACTCGTCTCGTTTTATACCACTGAAGTAAATCACCGAAATAAAAGTAATTATCTGATAAAAACACTTTCCATTATTTACACACATCACACACTTTCCTCTCCGAACACTTGTATTATTCACTATTTCCACAGGGAATCCACAATTAAAAATTATGAACTTGTTTACATCTGTGAATAGCCGGATGGGGTGACTGAATCACGTACGCAATATTATATTCAAACTTCCCGAAACAATGGAATTCTCAGGTGACACGTCCTTGATCATTTTTACGGAGATAAATAAATGGATAAATACCGAAAATTCTAATTACTTGGGTGTAACGGAGTGTACGGAGTAGAGAATCGACTTGACATGACATGATAATGTTATTTGTAATAACAAATTAACAATAAAACTCCGACCGATTGTTGGAGGGAAAAACACGTTTGAGCCTGTCTGGCGGGTGTAGTACTTTGTCTCGCCGCGAGGGGATTCAATCCAAAAATGGCGGATTGGCGCCGGGTCCCGAAATTCAAGTGAGGAAATGTTGGAAAATTATTTTATCCATCAATTTCACGATCCCATTGTCTAATCATTAATTGATATTTCGAGTATCAACCGATTTTTTGGCCTTTGCCAGTGGGAAATCGATGGATTCACTAGAGAAAAAGTCTCAAAAAATTTCCAGAGTAACTGAATCAAAGGCAAGACGCCAAACAATGGAATTCTCAAACGACATGCCCTTGATCGTCTTCAAAGAGATAAATAAATGGATAAATACCGAAAAGCGTCATTACTCGGGTGGAACGCACGTACCGAGTGAAGAATTAATTTGATATGACATGATAATGTTATTTGTAATAACAAATGAGCGACGCGACTCCGACCAGTTGTTGTTGAAGGGCGAAACACGTTTGA